AACCATCCAACGCCCCCCAAGATCAGCGGATTGGGGGTTATGGTAGCGTTTTGAGACCCGGACCCATGGTTTTAGACGCAACAAGAACTTGGCTTGCAGGAAGTCAGTGAGAGTGGCGGGATCCAGGCCCCAGGGCCTGTGGGCCAGGTCTCCAGGGGGCTTGGGGCCCGGGCCCCCAGGGCTTGGGGCCCGGCCCTCGGAGGTGGGGACCTGGAGGGAAACGAAGCCGGAATACCCCCCCTACCCCCCCCGCTGTAAGGGAGAAAGGAAGAGGGTTTTCACCCTTTCCGCCTTCGGCAACCATCCAACACGCCTCCCAAGGTCGGCGGATATCTGTATAACCCTATATGGGAAACCCTGAGCCCTCAACCCCTAATTTTGGGAACCCCCCCCAAGTTGCCATTCCTTGCAGGCCATGAAGGCGCGTGAAAATGTTGCAACTTGCCGTCTCAGCGACAAGCTCATTGATGCACCTAGCCTCGATAGAGATGATAGTTAGTTTCCATAAATGAGGGGAGTCCGGCATAGACCCAAGATCCTTACTATGGGGACCACGAACAACAAGGTACCCCCATTTTGATGGAACCCCATTTTTAATTCGGTGGTTTGGGCGAGAGTAACCTTTGCGTCGGTTGTGAGGTGTGTTGGGATTCCCAGACCCCTGGGAGGATCTAAAAATTAGATCCCTATATAGACCCATTATAACCCCTATATAATCCTTATATAATTCTCCCTATGGTTCTCAGGGATCTAAGTTTTAGATCCTTTTGGGGGTCTGGGTTACAATATGGTTTTTGGAGGCAAGGACAGGCCCTCCATGGTGAGGCCCTCGACCCTGTGGAAACCCTATAGTCCCCCTTAAGTAGATAGAATATGAGGTATATGGGGATCCTATGATAATATACCCAAAGCCATATTCTATCTACTTAAGGGGGACTATAACCTTCGGTTTCTATGGGCATGCCGGGGTAGAGACTCTTGCCAGGTTGTTAAGGGGGTGGCAGAGAATATTTTGTGTCACTGCCTATGCTCGTTGAACCACTCCCCTTAACAGTCTTTTACGAGTCTTTCGGGTAGCGGGGACTCGCTGAGTCAAGACGGACTACTTCCCTAAGTGTCCATCGTACTACAAGTATCATATACCTTAAGTGTCATATACTTTGGGGTTCTTGTATGACTTGTTGTCAAGGTCTCGGGGCGCATATGATAGTTGTATGCTGAAATCGAACTCTGGGCAAAGCCGGGTCTTTGCCCTTCTGATGCCGGGGTTTCTGAAATGAGGAGGTTCTTTTGGGGGATTATAGTACTTCGGAACTTCGGATGCATACATCAAGGGTTATCTCCTAAACCCCAAATCCTATACCCTAAAGCCTATACCCTAACCCCTATACCTTAAACCCTAAAACCAAAACCCTAAGCCCTAAGCCCTAGGCCCTAAAACCTAAGTCTGTAGAAGTGTGACTGAGGCATACCGCATTATGTTCGAGTCGAGGCAGAGCTTGGGCCATTACACTTGGGGGTCAGGGTTTAGGAAGCGGATAGGGATTGCAATATGATATGGGGATCTACAGGGTGGAGGGCTTATGCAAAATTTGGGGTTCAGGGTCTAGGGATTTATGTAGGGACTAGGGCTCAGGGAATATTACCCGCATAATGGCGAATCACATGGAAAAGAACATGGACAATGAAATGGAAGCCGTGAATTGGAATTTGTAGGGGTTGTACATGGTTTTTAGGGTTTAGGGTTTAGGGAGTTTAGGGTACCCCAAATCCTGCATGACGCCAAGTGCCTCATACCTTGGGAAGTATGGTGCTCCAGCATGCTTCTGGTCTACTAAGGTCCAGCAGGATCTCCAGTATCAACCTTACGTTTTGTGTGCTGAGGGCTAGGGATTCAAGCGTGGAAAAGGGTCAATGTTATACGGTCTCGAAGGTTTCTTGTCAAACATGAGGGTTTCTCCCTAGCTGGTCCTTAGCTCAGATATATAGATATACATGCTGATATCTATAGCCCCTTCCTAGCCCTCCCAGAAGCATATTGCAGGTAGCTCTGTACAGCTAGGAAGGGTCTGAGGCTTCTTGAAGGGTCGTCTACCATGCCCCTTCAAAACCCTAAACCCTCGACCTAGACCCTACCCCCTCAACCCTCAACCCTCAACCCGTGACGAAGCAGCAGGGGATACCTAGCTGAAGACGGCACTGCGCACCATTGTAAATTGTCAATCCGAAAATTTGCTGATATGGATGGACTGCTGCAGTGCCATACCCTTGTCCTTCATCTGTGCAGTAAACCTTCCCAAACGCTAAACCCGAAACAGTAGGCTCTAAACCACAGCAAGTGCACAGCCTTAGATCCAACATCTCCTGTATGTCCTCTCAGCTTCATACCACTAAATACTGTAGAAGCCTGGTCAATTACTTGTATAATCTCCTTATCATCCTCGTATGACCTGTTCCAAAGTTTTAGGCTCTTGTCGTATGCCTGCCAAGGAACTGTGTGTTGGTGGTGGAGGGACTGGGCGACGTTGATGGGGAGAATGTCCTGAATCCTGAGGCTGCTAGGCTTCCCACTAGGATTATATAGGGTTTAGGGATTAGGGTTTAGGGTTTTGGGTTTAGGGATTAGGGTTTAGGGTTAACAAGCTGTAGCTGGAAAAGGGCGTCACGGAATCTAATCTCTTCGATGTTTGGGACATGTCGGGGCTTGTCGAGTGACATCTAGTACCCCAACAACCCAAACCCCAAAAAGGGGCCATAATGCCGCCTCCAGCTCCCTCGTAACCTTCGTATCATGGGTTCTTGAGGGATGCATTACCCCAAAGAGGAGTATGTATGTCACTCGGGTGCCACCTTCAATCCTTCCATCGTATCTGCAGCCTTCCAAACGTTGCTTCCTTCTTTTTTCTCGGCCTGATTATCTAAACCCTAAGCCAACCCTGAACCCTAATCCTGGGCCCCGGATCCAGGATCAGGGCAGCCACATCCATGGCGTCATCACAGTCACGGACGCGTTGCGGACCTTTTCCGAGTGCCAGTCGCTGGCTCGCTCTAACACACGGTTTTAGGGTTCAGGGTTTAGGTATAGGGTAGAGGTATTCGTAGTATAGTTCCATAGTTCCCTATATGAGCCATAGTCTAAGCTCCTTGAAGGGGGTCATATAGAGAACTATATAGGAGAGCAGTATTTTATTGGTTATGAAGGGGGATACTAGGGGTCTAGACTATGCTCATATACCCCCATGTATCCTTATATATCCCCTACATAACCATTATATGAGCCGTTGAAAGCACCTAGCCTGTTTGTGAGTTATATAACTTAAGTGGACTCCCCCCCCAGCAATGGTGACTATAGGGGATAAGAGTAACCATATTAGGGTCCTCTTATATTCCTGTTATACCACCACTACAGGGTGAGGGGTCCTCCTTATATAACCCCTTTAAGTCCGAGGTCCCTTTGTCTCTGGTGTTTTGAGGAAGCCTACAGGTGCCTCCATATCTGGATAGAACTTCTCTGGAGCTGTTTTTCTTCCTGAGAGTTAAAGAACGCAAAGCAGTAAGCCCTGAACCCCGAACCTTGAGTATCAACTCCCTAAATCCTAAGCCCGAATTTGTACACCTGAATTTAACAACTTGAAGCGCGTGGTGGGAGACCACCCTGACAAGGTTCCTCGCATTGGCTTTGCCATTCCCTATTTAGTGTAGAAGCCTAAATATCAGAATAGGGCTTTGTGATATACCGTCATTGTGGAGATGTTGTTAAAGAATGATAATGATTAGGTGGACCCCCCACCGAGTAATAGTGACTATAGTATTAGGCATTATGTCAGGGTCCTCTTAATTTCCTATTGTGCCACTATTACAGGGTGGGGGGTCCTTATTGGACATTTTGCAAGCTTTTACATTAGCGGGTTCTTGGATAGGAGCTAGGAACGACCTCCTACCCATGGACAGTGACCACAGCGGATATTGGCAGCTTCATCAAATTCCTACGATGTTCCTACTATCCGCTGTCAGTGGGTTGGGGATGCTACCTAAGTTATAGCCCTAAACCCTAACACCCGAAGTCCCTTCCGCACGCGAGCAAGCGGCAACAGTAGCTCTAACCCACGAGGTAGCACGGATTCTCTGCATTTCGTTCTCGCAGAAGTTTTTTAGGGGTTGGGGTTTGGTTGCTGGGATGGATGCTGCTCAATGGGGGTGCCCGCTTCACGATATCCCCCCCAAAATAGTAGACTCCATGTTCTACTTATATCCCCTCAAAAAACAGGGGCCTTGTACACGAACTCTCCCCCACAAGAAGCCACAAGTCTTGGAAACCCCAGACCCAAAACTATCTAAATATATATATATATATGTATATACAAATGTATATGTATACATAGACCTCCATGCTCCTAATTAGAAGGTTTATGACTTAGGGTGTAGGGATTTAACCGACACATGACCAGCATATATCCCTAGAATGATTACATGTTCACTAGATAGCTGAGAAGTATGTTCGTTTCCATAAATAGGGGGACCCCAATATAAGCCTCAAAATACTATAGTCCTTATTATTGGGACCCCCAAGTACTATGTTTGAGAAACCCTAATACCTAAAGACTTTCATCTAACCGATTTTCCATTTTCCTTTCCAATTGGTTCTCCATTCTTGGGGATAGTATATCCATATATATTCTCTTTATACTCCCAGAATCCCTGTCCCTCTCTCTCTCTCTATATATATATATACTCAGATTGATAACCTTAAATTCTTGTTAGATGAGGTCTGGCGACAACACCACGGTTAAAGGCTTCCGTGCTTGTAGACGTGCTGAGGATTCCCAATGTACAGTAACTTGTGGGCTATGAGATATAGAGTGGTGCTAGAAATCCTGCATCCACAGTAGGGCAGCGAGGGTTCGGGATGTAAGGTTCAGGCTTAGGGTTTAGGGTTTTGGGTTTTGGGTTAGGGGTAACTTAGGTAACTTCAAGTGAGGGGTGGCTCCTACTTCAGAGAGTCCAAATCAGACCCGAGCGTACGATGCTTTATGTAAGATCCCCAACCACAAGTTGAATAAGTAGGCCGTCGCAATTCCCCTCATATTTGTCACGCTGGGTTTTGGGTAGCAAGGACCCTATGACTGTACTACAGTCAGGTTCTAATTTCGAAGGCTACATCCGAAACTCCGAACCCTTTTGGCTGTGCTGGCGCGTTCCCGCTGTGGTTGCGCCCCTGCTGCCCGATCGTAAGAGAACTTGGAGATCCAAGATATTCATAGTAAAGTTCCAAATCAAAGGCCCCTTCAGTCTCCTCCTCTGATTACATCCGGGCTTCAAGTACAATAGTAGGTTAGTAACAAGCATCCTACAGAGGGCAGGGTGGCGGGGGGGCTTGAGGGTGGGGATTTACCCGAGGCTGTGAGAGAGCCCTTTCTAGGGAGTTTCCTGCCTTCACCCAAGCCCAAACTCTGGTTGCAGGTTTACACTTGTCCCTCTAGGATTTATTGTCTAATTCTTAGTGTAGTATAACCCCAAGGAACCATGAAAGATGTTATTTCGAATAGAGGTCTAAGCGGGTTGCAGTTTAAGTCTAAGCGGGTCACAGTTTAGGATTCAGGATTTAGGGTTTGGGTTTCCGGGTTGTGGGTTCAGGATTTTTGGGGAAGTTCTTCTCAACAAAGTTGTTGAAAGAAGTTCTCATGTTGTCACGGCATGTCACGGCCTATGTGCAGAAGTCCAAATAATGAATGCATCAATCAGATTCTACCAATTGTGTTTCTGTCTTTGACATCTCTGAATTCGTGAGGTCGTAAGTTAAGCACCAAAATAGCTGTCTCCTGACAATCTGCACAAAAGGCCTATGAAACGGCAGCATCAACTGCCACCAACTAATCCCCAATCCCTAAACTGCTAAGCCCTAACCCGGCCCCAATCCGTAATCCCTAAGCCCTCAGTATTGTTGGTGGTCAAAGGATCCCTTAAAGCAATATCAGGATTTAGGGTTTGGGATTTAAGGTTAGGGCTTAGGACTTAGGGTTTAGGATCTAGGGTCCAGATCGCTTAGTAGGCTTCCTCTAGAGGGTTCCTGCTCAAGGATATAAGGTGTAGGGCCTGGTCTATGCTTTCGACAAGCATCAGGGCTCCTCAAGCCCTCAAGCCTATGGAGCCTAAAGCCGAAACCCTAAACCGTACTTTCATTATTGGGGGTTTATGGGGACAATGGAAAAGAAAATGGAAACTACTGAAGTATATTGGGGGTTTATAGGGATAATGGAAAAGAAAATGGAAACTACTGAGGGGTTGTAAAAAATACCTTAAACCCTCAAGCCAAAACCCAAACCCTAAACCCCAAACCTCCCCCACGCAGGCTTTCTGAATGGATTGACCGCTGCCGAGCACTTCACGGCCCCCGGGCGGAGCATCTTCGATTCTGGGTTGCTGTTAAGAAGGTTTAGGGTTTAGGGTTTAGATTTTAGGGTTTAAGGTTTACGGGTTTTGGGTTGGGACTATATTGGGATAATGGAAAATAAAACGGAAACTGCTATTTAGGGTTTAGGGTTGAAGGGTTTTTGGTTTTGGGTAACTCAACATGCGCGAGGGTGTAATTAGGATTCACAGTTTAAAGTTAAGCACAGGGGTCACAGAAGGATATAAGGAATTCAAGTTAAGCTACAGCGGAACGGACACGTAGGGGTTGTGTAGGGTTTATGTAGGGTTTGGCGTGAAGCTACCATAATATGAACGCATAGCAAGTGATGGGGTTGCCTTGTAATGGCGACTTTATTACCTTCCTTGAAATTTCCACAAGACCCCACGTACAACCGCACTTTGCGTTTCATTTTCCATTTCCTACTCATTTGTACCTCACTTGAAATTTCTACAAGACCCCACATACAACCCCACTTTGCATTTCATGTTCCATTTCTTACCCATTTGTTTATCCACCATGGCAACTTGACCCTTAACTCCTTCACCAAGAACGTGAAGCCCCACACCCCACACTCCACACCCCACACCCCACACTCCACACCCCACACCCCAAAGCCCTACCCAAGTTCCTAAACAGCAACCCAGGATACATGGTCACTGCTGGAAGCTGTCCCTCCACCTATTTTCAGGTTCAGGGCTTGCTCTCATCAACTTTGATAGACAAGGGGATAGACGGATATATAGTATACGGAAGTAAATACGGGTATATACAGTTTAGGGATTCCGTTGGGATTCCCTGTGAGGGCTTCTGTTTTGCCCCAGTTTAGAGTTTGGGGCTTCGTGCTAACGGTTGCCGGGATAGGCTTACGGTTTAGCGCCTGTATGCAGGTTTTGGGGTTCATGGCTGAGCAGAGCAGATCGAAAGAGCCGAATTGCCTTGAGTTAAAATGTTTTTCAAGCTCATCTCCTACGCAGGGAAGGCCAAAATCAAAATTAGACAGGTAGTATCCCATGGTCCCATAACTATGACAGAGGACGCTACTTTTTCGTAATGTACCTACCTAGGTTCATATTTGTTCTAAACTTTCGCGTTCTATCTAGATGCCTGATGAGGAATCAGAAAGACTCTGAGAGGAAGCGAACACCCTAATGTATTGTTGTTACTGTCTTTACTATCACAACTATGAATGTTCTTGACAAATTAGTATTGGGGTTTAGGGCTTAGGGTCTGTCACTACTACTAATATTGACAAAGGAGTAGTATCGATATGATTATCGTAGTTTTTAAACGTAGTTATTGCTTTTGTTGTTGCTATCACGGGTCATTGGGAGGCCCAGGTACGTAAGAAGCGGTTATTTCACCTGGCTGTATTTAGAGGCAGTTCATAAGTTTGAAATCTTCTACCGACAGTTTAACCCCAATCCCCTGAACACTAAACCCTAAACCCTGCACCCCAAACCCTAAACCGCAAAAACTGTAAAAGTCCGAAGTGTGAAAAAAAACCTGATAGGATCCACGAACCCGAATGCGGACATGCGACATATCGTTTTATCCTTTCATCTCCTGTCCTATCCTCGCCTCTATCCTCTCCCCCATGCTATGCTCCACCCCCATCCTCTATCTTATCCTCTATACTCTCCTGTCTTTCTTGAAGCATCTCCATCTCTCCTCCATCCCCTCCTCCCCCCTCGTCCATCCTCTCCTCTATCCCCGCCTTCATCCTCTCCTCCATCCTCTCCTCCCCTTTCTCCATCCTCTCTTCCATCACCTTCTCCATCCTCCCCTCCTTCCCCTCCTCCATCCCCTTCTCCATCCGCTCCTCCATCCTCTCCCCGCTCCCCTCTCCCCTCTCCTCTCCCCTCTCCCCTCTCCTCTCTCCACTCTCCTCTCTGCACTTTCCTCTCTCCTCTCTCCTCTCCCCTCTCCCCTCTCTCCTCTCTCTTCTCGCCTCTCGCCTCCCGTCCTCTATCCTCTCTCCGCTCGTCTCTTCTCCTCTCGTTTCCTCTCGTCTCCACTCCTTTCCTCTCCTCTCAGCTCCTCGCGCGAGGAGGCTCCAAAAGCGACGACAGGTCTGCGTTTCACGACCAGGACACCCCCGATTCCTGTGACTGTTGACACTTGTGCGACGCAAGGACCAGAGCCACGTCCAAGGTGACTGTTGACACTTTTGAGACGCGAGGACCAGGAGCAAGTCCAAAAGTGGCGGCAGTTCTGCGTTTCGCGACCAGGACCCCCCCTGATCCCTGCGACTGTTGACACTTTTGAGACGGGAGGACCAGGAGCAAGTCCAAAAGTGACGACAGTTCTGCGTTTCGCGACCAGGACCCCCGTTTCGCGACTGCGAAGTATGCGCGACACCCGTGGACGTTTGCGGACGCTTTGCGAACGCTTGCAAACACAAACGCTACGACTTTTGGTCATCTCCTGGACCCCTGGACCCCTGGACCCCTGGACCCCAACCTTAAAACGGGAACCCTTCTGCGGCGCTTTCGGGAAAAACCCGAAACCTAAGCCCAAAACCCCAACCCCTAAACCTTGGACCCTGAACCCTAAACCCCTAAACCGCTAAACCCCTAAACCCTGAACCCTAAACCCCTAAACCCTGAATCTGAACCCTGCACCCTAAACCCTACATCCTGTTATAGCCTACCTACTGAGCCCTTCTGAGCCTTCAGGTTGACCCTTTGCCTGTAGGTAGCTTACAGCCAAACTCTGAGTCTTTTATTCAGGGCTTAGGTTTGAGGGTTGCGGGTTTCGGGTTTAGGGTCTAGGGTCTAGGTCGTAGGGCCCCAAACCTTGAAAAGCGTGACCACGGAAGTATGCCTTTCCTTCCCTCATATTCTTAGTGTAGTTTCTTGTCTGTATCTCAACCTAAGGTAGTATTCAGGTGTTTTTCTCTCTTTTTGTGTATTTTCATAACTAACCAGGGGGTCCTAATATAGACCTCAATATCCTATAGTCCTTATTACAAAGACTGCAAAAGTGGCCCCCCAAGTTTCGCGCACAACAATAATCCTCCTGAACCACTCTATGATCCCAGTTTCCATCTCATGTTCCTGTTATTTTCCATTCCATTCTCCATGTTCTGAAGCCCCTATATTAACCCTGAACCCTAAACCCTAAACCCTATTCCCCAAGGCGGAGCGAATGAGTGAGCTTGGCATCCATCATCTGGTTGTTCTCAGAGAGAGACGCGCCGACGAGAAGGAGATCGTAGGCATCTCGACCCTTGATAGGAGAGCCTTTTACACTGTAGCGGATTTGAACGTAACGTAGCCGGTCTAGGGTGTCAGCGTTTTGGAACATCATTTCTGATCAGCTAGACACATCAGCTTTAATTCTCCCGGAAAACTTAGCTAAGTTCGACTTTGATTTGTTATAACCTCTTCAACTCTGGGGTCACTGGAGGCTCCTCAAGATCACATAAGCAGCGATTCCGTTTTGGAGGTTGCAAGGTTAATACGGTTCAGGTGTAGGGTATTGACTTGTGACCTGTGTCCGCGTAGCTTTTCTCATGCAGTGTTGTGTCGGAAGAAAACTTCAGGACCATTTGCTTCTTGCTATTTTCAGGAGCAGTAGGCATTTTGGCGTCATGGTAGAGTATATGGACAGAATCGTAAGTGCGGCCACGAGTTTTCTTCTCCATCCCCGCCAGACCAGTGAAAGTGGAAGGTGTCCTTTCCGCATTGGACATCGTATGTGCACTAAGCTCTGCAAGCTGGATTCCAGGAACAGATGGAGGCGCATTGGGACCTGCGGTCGCGGGTACTTAAGGCCTACATGTAGGGTTCTGGGTTTGGTCTTCATTCAGGGTTTTAATTTGCCTGTGTATTTTTTCTCTTTGCGGGCCTAAACCGCAAAAGAATCCTAAGCCCTAAACCTTAAATCCTAAGCTCTAAACCCTCATACCCCAGAGGCTGAGCTTCAACCGTCCCTTTCTGGAAGGTGCATGATTGCGCGTCAGGCCAAAAAGGGGCTAACTTCCGTACGGCGGCGCCACGTGTTTCTGGGTTGAGTGGCATTTTTCGTCACTTTGTGCACCCTGGGTTCCTCTACCCAAAAGTTATGATATAACATGTTGCGCCGTAAGCCGCCGTAAGCTTGTAGTTGGGGCTCTCCACGTTGCCACCGTA